AGGTAGTAAAGGTATGCGAGAGTACAGTGGATGTATGTAGCTAGCTGAGCTAGAAAGGTGAAGTTTGGGGCAGAGAGCTCTAAAATGTGTTCTTGACGATCCTGTTAGGTGACGTTTGCCACCTACCCACGTTACAGCCAGCATCCTCTGGCGCGCTCAAGGTTGAAACAAATTGAAAGTTTTCGGAAGATTTCGGGTTATAGAGGTGAAAAGTTCGACAAGGTAAAAACAGCCAGAATTGTTGTAAAAGCTCCTAGAGAACCACCCCTACGCATCCTCTTGTCGATGTAAGTTCCCACCGGGTTTCATCACCTCTGAACGTCCTACACCATTAAAAGTCAACTTTTTAAACGGTTAATTACCCTAGAGTGTAGATAAAAGTCGCAGACGGAGAGTGAGAAAGTACTAACTACGTTCCCAACATTGGATTTGCTGATTTTTAAAAATAAGTACGTATTCGTAACTTACTAGGTCTGTATACAAGCTCGGCTTGGGCATTGTTGAATACGCTGCTATGAAGAAATTTGTTTATACTGGCGTATTTAAAAATACACAAACGAAGCATGTTTACAGAACTCAGTAAGGTAAGCTATAATTAAAAAGGTTCATAAGTTACTAGTGCGAGGTGTATCCACCCACTGTGCACTACTCCTCCCGCCTGGTCGGAGGTCGTAGTGCCAGTGACGGTGCTATACGAAAGTTAGTTAGGCCCCTATTTTCCAGGATGGCGTCCTTTGGGGGCTAACTGGTATGATGTACGCACTTGCAGTATGGTTCATCGCCTTTTTCATACTAAAATTACTCGGAAAATTATTAAAGATGGACTCTGTAGGCCGTTTTAACAAATTTGAACATTTTGAACAATTTTGGACCAGGGCGTATCATGGTCTAAAATGTCCTTGGTAGACAAAAGTGCTTCGAGGACCTCATATTAAGCCTCTGACATACCTTATTTGCGAAAACGACACCCAACACGGGGTACAACGGCGAAAACGTCTCCCGTAAGAATTAAGCCTCTAAAAAAAATCAAAAAAATCGGCTTTTTGGGCCAAAATGAGGGGTCGTACGGACTTGGGGTGTACTCCATTCGCCTTGTCAGGTCGAAATCGTCTGGAAAAGTGTCTTATATAGCGTCTCTGCGACAATTTTCAATATTTCGTCTTTTTTGAACATTTGCATTAAAATTTCGGCTCCTATGTCTCCAAAACGAGTGTACTGCGACTCAAATCAAAGATTATGGTCTAATGAACTACGAAACCAAAAATCACACTCTGTGTGTCCCTATAGCGGCGTTTTTCGGAAAGTATCGGTGTACCGCCTAGGTTACCTCCTGGGCCCGGGGCGGCAGCGCAGCCCGCCCGCGCCGCAGTCACCGGGCCATAGCTACGTCAATTTTGGTCGCAGAAATTCCGTTCAAAGCTCATTTTGTTCATCA